GTTAAATTGTTATTCATATACCAAAGCGTTATCAAATGCCTACAATGCTCATGTGAAATATCTGCAGTAACTATGCGATGCCACGTGTCCTGTCACCTTGATGCTTTTTAATCAGCGTTACGAGTTGGTCATTATCAAAAACTGCATGTATGCTAGACCGTCTTCAAATGCCAGAAGATCGATTGTGTAGTGAAACTGACAATACTAATAAAGAGACTGTAGGACACTAGGATTTAAAAAAAATGTAAAGGTGATTTGAATCATTGATCTATATTGTGTCATTAAAATTTTACTGTAGAAATTTATTCAAATATTAATGGAGAAATATTAATGACGATTTAAACTTTTCAGCACACACACACACACACACATATATATATATATATATATATATATATATATATATATATATATATATATGAATAAAATGACAATAGGAAAACTGGTAATTGCTGACGCGTTTCGTCCAATGTGGACTTTATCAAAGCAAAATACGAAAATGAAATTAAATGAACAAAGTAACTAATAAAAACAAAATTTCATTTTCGCATTTTGCTTTGATAAAGTCCACATTGGACGAAACGCGTCAGCAATTACCAGTTTTCTTATTGTCATTTTTATTCATATATATTCTCTTCTCTACTGGTTAAATCGGAGAAATTTTCATATATATATATATATATATATATATATATATATATATATATATATATATACTTTTCAGCATATATATATATATATATATATATATATATATATATATATATATATCTGTGTGTGTTTGTGTATGTATGTATAATTAAAAAGTATTTAATTATTACTATAATAATAATTAAATTATGATTTGAAATTATCAGTGAGCGATCATTCACTTTTACGATATTTTTTTTTGTAACACGCTTTCGCGAGTTGAAATCCTCACAGTATTTAGTATTTTTGAATTTATCGCTAATATTCTTGTCGAGATTTACAAACTCTACGTTTCATTCAATTTCGTGAAACAAACGATGAAATATAAAACTTATTGCATAAGATATATGCAATATGTTTTTTTTATTAAATAAATATTTGTCATTTTAATCATTAAATTGTTTTTAAAAGAGTGGAAGTATTTTTAATGTTAAATAATAAAACTTAATTTTTTCAAAAAAAAAAAAAATGAATGAAAATTTACTGTACTAAACTATGCATTGTGTCCCTTTACCTATTTGCATTTCTCCCAAAATTTGGTTTCGATGGCTATTTCAGAGGATGTGACGGGCAGACGAAGGAAGTAAATAAAGTCGCAGAATTTTATATATAGATTATTACTATACAAATTATTAGTTACGACACAAAATTATCAATATGTCCAAATATTTTGTTTTAGGAATGAAAGAAAAGATGAATGTTTTGGTTTATACTTCATACTTTTTAATAATATTCAGTGTATTTTGACAGCAATATTTAAATGTTTTTTAACGCCAATGAATTGGATATTTCTCAACAGTTCGAAGAGGATAGTGCGGAATTATGTTGTTTTCTCCTTTTCTGGTTATATTTCAAGTCGATGATTCATTCACAAATTTCTATTCATTTATCATTACGAATAGGTCAACCCCGAGGTGGAATCATTCAGAACAATGGAATAGGAACCAAAAGAAAAATACAAATAAATATAAAACCAGTAAGAATACAAACAACTTACTGGTTACTAATATTCGTTTAATTCTTTCAAAAATCATTGAACAAGAGGTTAAACACCAGAGGCATAGAGTAAACTTACTAAAACCCATATTTAATCATTTATAACATTTCCACTACTCAATTCTAATATTTCCCAAAACCTTACCATTTTTGTAAAAGTATTTTGGTTTGACAGAATAGAATATTAAGAGAATAGTTTCCATTTCTTTCTTTTAAGAACTAATTTATTAAGACGATTCTTGGATCTCTGGAACAAATGGTAATCAGAGTCAAATTTTCAGTGAAATTTCTCCGAAGCAAGCTCATTAATCTTTTCAGGTACCTTGCATCATTATTGTGATGAACCTCCACACCTTTGTGATTGCTCACTTTGGAACTTTTTTTTCATTCAAAGCGAGAGTCTAAATACTTTAACTACTGACTAGGGGACAATACAAAAAAATGAGCATGCATGATGAAAATATTGCCAATGCCTAAAACTTGGCACAAAATTTTGTCGTCAAAATTTTTAGCTTAAAGGAGTTTTTGATGTAAACATTATTTTTTAATCCTTTTTAGAACGTTCGAAATTTTGGTAAATAATCTTGTTTTTCTTTTTAAAAATCTGTGTTAAATTGTATCGGTCAAGTGATATTGTTATTAAATAAAAAATATATTTACTAAACATAAATGGAATAGCTTGCTACAATTCACCAACCCTCAATATTTTAAAAATAATTTTTTTTTGTAGGAGGAGTGTGTATAAACGTGACGATTTTTTAAATACACAAATACATAGCACTATCAGAATATAAGCCCGCTAAATATTGCAAATTTATTGGTAATTTTCTAACATTTCCTCACTGAGCATCTTCTTAAGTAAGCCTATAAAACCAAAGTACCTAAAAAATAAAACAGAAGTCTGTTTAAAATAATTTAAAATTTTAAAGTTTATTAGGTAACTGAAAAAAAAGGCAATTAAGTTTTATTCATGTCATGTAATTTTATAACAATTATATCCTCCTTAGATAAATTTCCAAAACATCAGGCTGTCAATAAATGCGTCAACACATCATAAAAACAACATTTTTTACGATATTTTAAAGTAAAAGCAAGTAATATTAATTTCAATTTAGATTAATTATACGTAAAATCAGCTAATTTTTCTCACATAAAGTTTCAGAAAAGTATAATTTATTTTTGAAAGATATTTTAACAAATTGTTGTGCTGACAAATTTATCAATATGTACGATTTTATAGATGTTATTAATAATCAGAAAAACTTAATTCCAATCAATTTAAATATATTTTAAAATACAAATAGTACTTATTGGAAATATTAAATTTACTCTATTAGCTTTCAATTAATAGCTTCAAGAATTTTTTTTTTCATTTTTAAAATACATTTTAAACGTTAGCTATTGCTTTTTGGCAATACCTACATTGTTAATATCTATATGTATGGTCCACTTTTATATATTACCAATTTATGTAATGCACTAATGCAATCCCATGCATAGTAAAACTTTGCTGAGATGAAAAAACATCTTGCTTTGTGGTTTAGCCTATTCGGCCTTCCATTCGGACCAACATGCTTATTTTGATTGTTAGCGGCTTGGAAAGAGAAATTGGCAACCAGAGTTCAAATTCAGTCCGTGTTCTTTAAGGTTACTTTCTCTTAAATGTTTTAGGGAACGTATGAATCCATCTATTCTTCCTCTAGTTATGAATTAAATAGCAGGACTGACTGGTTTCTCTTAATTACAGGTTCAAATTAATCTCTGAATTCAAAATTAGCCTCAAGAAAGAAATTCTCTGTTGTCCTAGGGATTCTATTGTTGAAATATACGCAGTGCCCCTGTAATGAAAACAGGACAAGAGATTCTGTCTAGTAATCGTTTATTCAATTAAGAATACTACTACTCATCATTATTTATTGTACTAGGTACAAATGTGGCACAAGGCCGAAAAGGGGGTTGGGGTAAAGGACGGTCATCACTTGTCTTAGATTAAAACTTAGCTAGCCACAACCACTGACCCTATCATACAGAACAATAATCCTTTCACCAAAACAACACATTTATCCATACCTTTCTTACTACAAACACCAAAATGCCTCTTTGACTCCATGAAAAAAAACTAAATAATCCCCTTATGTACAAAATATTGTCTGTGGGGGAGGGGCATAAAAACAACAACTTCTAAAATGATCCCCAATGAATATATACACAATGACAAAATATATTTACAAGGAACCAAATAAAATTAGTGTTAGTAATAAAACCCCCCACAAACTATTGAATGTGGCAGAAATATCAGTTAACCGGACGAAATCGATGCGGGACTTATGAAAAATAAAGCCACACTCATTCATCCCAAGCATTCACACAGGCACACACTCATTCATACACAACAACAATTACGAAAAACACACACACGAAAACGAAAGGCACCCCGCATCTACCAGAGAACTGACATCACTGACCACCTAAAAACGAGGGAGGGGATGGGGAGTTAAACTAAAGGAAAAGAAAATGGGGACAGAAATAAAAGGGGACCAATGAGTAAATACACCCTAGCTAAGTTTACCAGAATAGAAATACTACTACTCATCTGACTTGACAGCGGAAGTATACAGCTTTTATAGCTTGCATTATCTAAGAGGAGATAATCCATATTCACAACAGCCCTACGACCCTTATGGGGCCCACACATATTTACAATTAAACATGTTCTCTCGATTGGGAAGAAATACCGTATTTACTGGCATAAAGGACACATTTTTTTCTGAAATAAGTTCCCAAAGTTTTCATAACATGAGGAATCTTGGTATAAATAACCTGTCTCTCGGGTTAGCATAGGCTTACGAAAACTCTAACCTTCAAGGACGCACGGCAAATTTTCAAGATTTATTTCAGTAAAAATATTGCGTATTTGCCGGCGTCAAATACGGTTATTTTCTTTTTTCTTCTATTTATTCGTCTGAAAATAAAATATTGAATAATGTCTTAAATTATTCGACACTTTAATAAAAAAAAATTAAAACTAAAACGTAGAGGGTGGAGAAAACGCGATTTTCAATATAATGTTAAAAAGACTTGCTAAGTCAGTACTTACATCTTCTTTCTGTTTGTGAGAGATAGCAGTGACATGGTATAAAAGTTCATCGATTTTAGATTCTGTTGAATCAAGGTCGGATGTAGAGAGACATAAGGCACGATTTAAGGGGATGAAGTCATAATTTTCTTTCTCTTTCTGCAATGAAACAAGAATAATACAACTTTTACTATTAAATATAGTGGGATAAAATACAATACTAATCTATGTGCCACTTTACTTCAGAATTTTGACGATCATTGCTCTCCACATCTTCTTTTAGCCGTTAATAAATTTTGTCTTTTTGCTATTTCTCCTAAACCCTGTTATGTCATCCATTTACGCAAGCTTGTTAGTTAGATATTTACTGCTTTCTTCTGTCCCTCTTGCCTTCAATATGTCCTGTGAGTGTCGGATTCTGCAAGCCTTCTTTCCTAATTATGTACCCTAGAAATTTCTTCTACTACTCTTCGGCAGCTAAATTAAGTTTTCACGAGTGCGCAGGACTACAGACATAATAGTTGTTCTTTCATGTTTCCTGCTTCACCAGGACGTTGGCAATAATGGCTCCCCACAATTTCCTGTCCTTTGTAGCTCTTAATAAATTTTATCTTTTTGCTATTTCTCCTAAACCCTGTTATATCATCCATTTACAGTCTCGTTGGGTAGGTTATTCGCTGCTTTCTTCTCTTCCTCTTCAATCTGTCTTGTCCGTATCAAATTTTCTAAAATTTCTTACCACATTATTTGCTTTAGCAATTTTAACTCACTCTTCCTGATGTTAAGTATAACTGATTTTTGTTCCTACTGACTTCCTCTTTTCTTACATGTTCCGTCTACGGTATTCTCAGTTTTCTTCTGTAGAACCACATTTCTCTTGCCTCACGTGTCTTTACATCTTGGACGAGATTGTCCAGTATTCACTGCCATAACAGTTCAGTGCACTTTTCTTTGTTTCTAATGTTTTTTTTTTATGTTTCTTAACACTTTGCTTAACTTTTGGAATGCAACTTTCGCTATCCCAATACACCTTCAGATTTCAGTGTCGCACTTACCGCCCTACTTGACGTAAATTTACTGTAAAAGATTCTGAAATAAATTCTTTTTTTATCATTTATTTATCAGCTATTACATGTTGATGCGCGCGTGACGTATTGTCGTTGGAATCGCTCCAGCTAAGAATATTAGATAATAATAATAGACTGGGATCTCTAGCCTTGATCCGAAATCGATTGCAAGCTGAGGACAGTAACCCAAGAAGCCGCAACAAGTTATTTTCCTGGAGGTTAGCATCAGCCATGCTGGTGGAAGGCAAACAGGGGTCTCTCAGATGTTTAATGAAGAGAAGTTTAATTTTGAAGGCGTTAAAATCAACAAGCCATCTTTTGTCCCAATTAACGACGGACTTATGGTCGTTTGGGACATCGGGTGCGAATTTGACCCTGTACGACAGATCAGACTTACTATCGAGGCAGGAGTAAATCGTTGTATCATCAGCGTAGATGCCAAGTTGAGTGATGATGTCATCGGGAAGGTCATTAATGAAAATTAAAAATATAGTACCAAGGATGGAGCTCTGGGGGGCATCTACGTTAGTACGAAAAGATCTAGACGAGTGGCCGTTCAGGTTAACCTTAATTTCACAATTTGATAGGAAAGACTGGATCAGTTCAAAAATGTGTCCGGAGACACCTTAACTTTTCAGCTTTGAAAACTGTCGCTTCTCAGGCATTAATTATTCTCTATAATAAAGAGAAGAATTTACTTACAAGTTTATAAACAAATAGTTCTAATGCTGTGTATTCGCTACTCTGCACAGTGTCCAGATGAATGATGAAATAAATGTATGCCCACATATTGTGTTCAGATTTTACGTGGGCATCAAAACCCTGCAAAGAAAAAAACAAAACAATGCACAATTAATTATGACAGCACTATGGTTCAAGGTCTTGGTCAGATCTTTACGATGGCTATGTTACTATTGATAGCATTGCGTTAATATAATATTTGAAACCAGCATAAAAATAAAGAGCGCCTCGAAAAGACTTTACTCAAAATACATTTATTAACCTAGTTTATTGAGTGGCCTGTTCAGTCAGTTATGTGCCTTGCTTGATACACGCTTAAGCGATCATGTATCTCTTTGACGAGGCAGATTTTTTCCCGCATTAGGTTGCCATTTCTTTCTGCGGTAGACCAATTACCATACAAGGATATAGACTATAGAACCCGGTCTATCTTGCTAATTACCCATAGCTGGGGGGGGGGGAGAAGAAGAGGATTCATACCTTTCCCAAGGGTATTAGCACGTAAGTGAATGTAATGGATTCGATTAGAATTCAATTCCTCAATCCGAGCCGCTCTCCGTTACTTCACCGTGCCTAGAATGGTCTGTATTTAATAAATATCAATTAACTGAGGAAGGATAGTTTTAGAGTTAATCTAAAATGTGAGTGAAGAAGTGTCTGATGAAAAAGAACCGAGATATGGAGATGAGACAGAAAAAGAAATGAATTAAGAAAGAAATTGAACTGGATGATAAGCGAGAAATTGAGTGGTGATAATGAAAAGGAACTTAAGGGTATGAGAGAGAAGAAAATAAAAAAATAAAGACAGAAAGGAAAACCGGATCTAAAAGAGAAATTGAACTGGATAACAAGGGAGAAAATTTGACGAGTAATCATAGGGAAAATGAACTGAGAAGTTGAGACAGAAGCCAGGGAAGTGGGTGAAACAAAAAAACAGAAATGGGTGTCCAGAGAGATATTGAATGATCAGAGAGAATTTGACCAATGATCACAGCGAAAGAGAACTGCAATATGAGAGGAATTGAATTGGTTGAAAAGAGCCTTTGATTGGTGATTATATTGAAAGGAAAGTGAGAGGTTGAGAGAGAAGTAGAACTGGGGAGGGAGTGAGAGCAAAAGGGAACTGAGTGTGTTCAACAGAAATGGAAATAAAGGGATGATGACCAAAAAGAAACTTTAGTTAAAAGAAATGTCGAATTGTGTGATTATAATGAATGGGCAATGTTTGAAGAGGGCAGAGATATACTGAGGGGACGTGAGCGAGTAACTGGGGGATTACAGAACAGGGGGGCCGAGAGTGAAAAAGTACTGGAACGGCGAAGAAAGAACAGGATCTACAGGATAATTCAGAAGCAAGATTTAAGAATACGATAGAAGGCGAATTAAGTTTTGAAAGCAGATTAGCTTTTGAAATTTTCTCATGAATTACTAATTCATTTTTATACTCTTTTCGTCAAATAGATGATGAAATTTTTTTTTTTTTCAATTGATGCCAAATTATAAACAGTTATACTACGTCCCCATTATTTTTGGCACTCGATTTTAGAAAATCTACAATCTGAATTTATCTTAGTAAGACTAAATTCACAAATAAGACTTACCTTTCCATGATGCTCAAAATCATAACTATTTCTCGAACAGATGAAGCATGTATCTTTCATATCAGATTCAGCACGCCACTAGAGAAACAAAAAACAAAACCATGCAAAAATCAGCTTAGCGATATTGATTTATATTTTTATTTCAAATATTCACATACGATTATCTTCAGATGGATAGAAACTGTGTCACATGGTCTATGTAAATGTAAATCTGTTAATATAAATATATTTTAGGTTAGAAATACATTGAAAATCAGGAGTAAAATGAATATCATTGATTAGTAATTGTTGAAGTGAAAGACAATTATGCTCGTGTATTTATATTTAAACGTCCATTTTAAAGAAAAATATACTGATATCAAAAATTGAGTTTTGTTATTTAATAAGTAATTCTGTTTTATTATAGTCGCTTACATCACACTCAGACCATTCTCTACTTAAATTAATACGTCCTTAGAATTTGCGACGTACATGCTTAGATAGATAGAAAAGTGATGGTGTATAGGTTGTTAGTTCTTTACCTTGAGATCTCTCAGTTCTGAAAAAGTGTCAACAATGATACCGAAAATGATGTTAAGGCCAATAGTTGTAATGAAGATGAAGAATGATAGATGATACAATGCGATTGGCCAGAAATATGAAAACGCGTTCTCCTCTGCGCTCTGTGTCAAAATCTGGAAAGAAGCAAACATTGAAATTAGGCATACAGCGCGAATTTAATGACATTCACAAGGGAAAAAAATTCCCTCTTAAAAATAAGATGTATTAATTTAATAAAAAAAGAAATTACAGAAGAGGTACCAGCCATTATTATTACAAGCTGAACTGTTTTACGCATGCGTGTTTCGGAGGCACGGTGGAGTAATGGATAGCAGCTCGGATTGAGGAATCAGAGAGCCAAGTTCGAATTCCAGTCAAATCCATTACATTCACTTATATGCTAATACCCTTGGGAAAGATATGAATCTTCTCCTCCCGCCAGGTATGGGGGGAGAAGGAGAGGATTCCGGGTTCTATAGCCTTGGATTGCAACTTATCTACCGCAGAAAGAAATGGCAACCTACTGCGGAAAAAAATCTGCCTCGTCAGTCATGTATCGAAATATATATGATCGTCTAAGCGTGTATCACGCATGACACATAACGGACTGACTGCTCCTGGAATGTTTAAACTAGAGACTGTCTTTTTCTCAATAGTAGGGATGATGGCATCTTTCTACTTAAAGATAATTAAAACTAAAACTTTGAGTGCCTGATGCAAAAAAAAAAACCACACTTGATTAAAAAAAATTGTATTGTCTAAATGTTTATGGAATTATTACAACGAAAGATGAATGTATTTTTGAATAATTTAAAAAGAAAATTAATCCTTTCTAGCACGTCCGAAATTTTAGCTAAAAATGTTGATTTTTTGAGTCATCAAAATTGACGCAAAATCAATTTTGTCAGCCATTATTGACAGTTTTTGTTCTTTTTACAGGTAAACCCACAATATTGTAGGAATAATTATTTTTTTTGCGTGTGTGAAATACACTTAGGTACTTACCTCAAACATGTCGCCAATCAGTCCGTATCGTATGACAGTGACAGTGCATTGCCACAGCGATGCACAGTACAGATGGGATTCAGGGTTAAAGGAGTTTCTAAATAAGGCAAAGCCTACAAGGGCGTAAATGTATATGACGATAATTCCAAGGATGGCGACCCATAACAAAGAATAACCTAAAAAAAAACGCAAACATTTTATTCAATAATTGATAAACCTAAGATTATGTGACAATTCATTAATATTCATGTAACGTGTGTGAGGAAAACGATTGATTACTGCAGGCTCTTTAACACACCGACATTCGACAGCGCATTAACAGTTACCAAACACAATCCTCTAAAAAACTTAAATCATAGCATGAATAAGTTTGCTGCTCCGAGGGCTCACAAGCCAACTCAGAAACTGCCTTTGTTCTTGTCTGCCGCAAAATCAAATCGAATTTTCATTTCATCTTGGCCGATCAATGGATTGATTGACTGATTTGTCTCTTTAACGGCATATCAACTACTTATGGATTGTATAATGTCAAAATTTAATTTTCTTGGGAATTTGGAAGTAATAAAAATGTGACATTTGTTATTCTGTTTTCACAACTGAATACAGCGGAACCTCAGTTCACGAATTTAATTCATTTCTGAAGGCTGTTCGTATCCCGAAATGTTCATAAACCGAAACTATTTTTTCAATAGGAATCAATGTAGAGGGAAAAAAAGTCACAGTACAATAGAAATGGAAAAGAAAAGCACGGCACAAAACACGGATGTATACAAAACAGTGGTCGACTTAGAAATTATTCCGTTCGGGTTAACTCGGTTCGGCTATGTTGTTCGTGAACTGACATTTTGTTCGATAACCGAGACATTTTCATCGCGAATATTCTGTTCGAAAACCGATTTGTTCAACATGTGAGACGTTCGAGAACCGAGGTTGCATTATACATGGTATATTATAGTCAGCTTTTCTGTATATATATGTTTGTGTGGACATAATTACTAGAGGAGATGGTATGTCTGTTTTATGTTGTAGTTTTGCTGAAGTTATATTTTAAAATACAGTTTGATTTAAGAAATTAAAGAATATTATATGAATTAATGTATTGTTGGTATTTATACAATAAAAATGTATTTTTATACATTCAATGTTTTGTTTGGGAGTTCACTATTTGCCTATAGCTGGGACACTAACAGGTGATAACAGGTGTATAACCAGATACAAATGAATTGTTAATCCAAACTGGGAGGGCAAATGACCCCTTGACCCCTTTACTATAGCAAAACTTATATTTAACATCAAGAAGAGGCAGTTGTGGTTTCTCGTACTATTTCTCTAACACCCACTAAATTAGTCGGCAATTCTGTTCTATTTGGCCATATTAACAGTATAAACAAGTCGCTTTTAGGCCACCAGTAATGGCTACCTACATATTTGAGAAAAAGAAAAGGTTTTTAAAATACAATAAATACTCACCGTTCTGTGTGACTGCTTTGATGACTCCAGCCAAAAGTTGGTTGTTATTGACCACATTTAAAAGGTGAAATGCAAAAAAGTAGCCATTGGAAAATGTTCCAGCAATCGACATACCCAGGAACAACTGTGAAAAGATAAGCATAAGCAAGAAATTTAGCAGCAGTGAATTTATATTAGACACACATTATAATATCAAACAATTCTTTTGTATATTTTTACTAAATTTCACCCACAAGACTCGAGTTTCATTTAAGATAGAGGTTTATAACTGAAACGGTAACGATGAATATACTGTGAGATATGAGTGGAAGTGGTGTTGGTAAGAAGTGAAAATTTTGAGGATAAGATGGATAGATAAGGATTGACCCTTGACATGAAGATGCTAAGAATATAAAATTCAGGAAGGTACCCAATAAATAGGTGTCTGAGTGAAACTTCCCTTACATTTTTAACGTGTATTTATGTTCTTTCTCAATGATCTTCATTACATATCCCATATTTTCAATGTCCATTTTTACTGCAATAACAGACTGGATAATGTGTTCGTAAAAGACATAAGAAACGTCTTTTTATCATCACTGTGTCCACTAGGTACATTAATAGGACTGCTACCTAATAAAGAATGAAAAGCATTTGACACAATGTAATTTTTCAACACAATCTACTTCATTATCAATGCACTTAATTCAATGACGAATATTGCTCACGTGGGTCAAATAGAATAGAGTAAAAATGTCCAACTAAAATCCAACTACTAACTATGCATCAGGCTACAGACTTATTGCTTTAACTTTGTATATTTCATTTTTCCTTAATTATGATAAGCCAAAGTGCAAGAGAAAAATACTGTGTACATTAATTTTCCATGCATTGAGATGATTAATATATAAGTTTTTGACTAGTAAACAAAATTCCGTTTCTACAACTTTATATAGTTTGCAGTAACGCTTTTTGTAGACTCCCCACAATGTGACCACATTGTTATCCTGTAACAATGACAATTCGTCATTTTATAGCAAATGGGTCTTACATATTTATAAGTCTAACATTCATCCATGCTTTGAATATTGCTGGCACATCTTATCCGCTGCTTTCACTATATATTTAGAAAGTCTTGATAAACTCCGAAGAATCTGCAATATTATTGGTCCTGACCAAGCGTCTCGGCTTCCGTCACTTTCCCATTGTCGTAATTGTTCCGATGAACTTTCCTTTATGATACCTAAACTTTATGAATTTAAGCGCAGTACTAGATTGTCGGCAAGGTCTCGTTATTCTTCAGTTGAAATGGCTAGTGGTAACCGTAAGTTCTATGCTAACAGTTTCTTCTCTTGCACTTGTCAAACTCTCTTCCGATTTCTTGCTTCCAAGTCAACTTTGAAGCAATGCCAGTGGTTATCTACTGTCTTCTTAATTATTCTTCTTTTATTGTTCTCTCTTCTTAATATTGTTTTCTTTTTTTATTTTCTTTTGTTTTCTCATATTTTCTGACACTCAGTAATCTCTTGAGTCTTAGTGGCTTTATTGGCCTGCTTGGAGTGAATTGATTAAAAAATAAATAAATAAGTTCCAGGAAAATATTAGAACATGTAAATTACTGACATTCAATTTAAAATACGAAAAGAAACGTCATACGTTATTAAATGAAGAAACATCATTCTGATGTTATTTGAATAATGCATAATTTTTCAGCTACAGCATTTTGCAAAGTTACAATAATCTTGTGAAAACATTGGAGATGGAAACTTTATTTTATTTATAGAAAACAGTTGTTTTTCACGTTAGAGACATGATATCACAATGAAACATAATCCCCCAAACAAAATATAACGTATTTTTAATGTTGCAAGAACGTTCCTTGTTAGCTATTTGTTTTTATCATTTCAACCCAAACAAGGTAACAATGCCATTAGTACGCAGGTGGTTACAGGGAGTGAAAATGAGAGAAAAGCATGAATATAGGGAGGATTGAGGACAGAACAAAAGATGAACGGGTTTCAAGAAGATATAAGATGGCGATTGACGTTGCATTTAAATTTTTGTAGTTACCAGGGAAGCAAGTAAACGGAAGGTATTTCCACAGGCAAGAAGTCCGAGAAAAGAAACTGTTGGAGTAGAAGTGGCGATTGCATTTAGCTATTTCAACAGTAAACGGGTGGTTCCAAAATGCCAATTTAATAGCATGCTTAAATTTATGTAGTTTGGCAACAGGGAGAAAAGATCGTCAGAGCAGTTGCCATGAAAATATTTGTAGAAAAGACAGAGAGAAGCCACGTCAAGTCAATGAGAATGTGATTGAAATTGAGATGCCAAGTCAGGATCGATTACATTACAGATCCTTCTTTGGATTTTGTCAAGAACCTCGCGATGAATATCAGGAGTGCCAGACCAAATATGTCATCAGTATTCAATTCACAGATAAAGAATAGATTTGTACATGTGTAAGATAGACTCATCAGAAAAATTTTCTGGCACGACACAGTGACTCAACTTTTTTTCTTGACTATTGACGAGGGAGTTAGGCGAAGTTACATATCATTATAGTAGCGAATCTTAATATTTTCCAGCATTACTTACCATGTAATAAAATGTTCTGAAGCTGAAAAACTTCACATCTAATTTTGAGATTTCCTTCGACTGAACTTTCTCCTCTTCTTCTGATTCATCCTTTCCGCACAGCCGCCTGGAGGGGAATTCCAAAATTAAAAATAATGAAATTTGTTTTTATTTTTGTTTTTTATTTAACAATTATGGTACATATATAAAAGCAAATCTTTTTTTTTTTTTTTTTACAAGTACATTGATATAAAATCGAAATAATATAATAGGTAAAAACCTGAGATAAATTGAAAACTCACATGACTAAGTCACATGTTTAAGTTCTTGTGTGCTTTTAGGAGCAGATATATTGTTGCAGACGCAGTTTACTAATAATATATATAAAAGACTGATGGGACATCTCGAGACGGTGTAATGGTTAACAAGCTTGTCTGGCTAGAACAATTACGACTAAGTAGTGAATTCGATCCTCACTAGGTGCCCCCTACTTTCGTCCTTGTGCCACATCTAAGCTATGTTTGGAAAATCTCTATAGAAAAGGTTGATGGTAAATTTATATGTTTTACCAATGCGGATTGTTTTGTTCTACTGAAGTAAAATGAGGAAAAAGAAATAAAAATTACCCTTACATGAATTTATTAAAAAAATGAAGCATTGTTAATAATTATTATTTCTGATTTTAGATACAACTGTATTCCTGAATGAATGTAATTAAACGGTGTTTAAATCAGTCAAAATAGGTACCCTGGACATCTGTATGTTTCTGCTGTGGAATTAAAAGGTCATTTATTCTTTTTCTATAACACTCATGTTTGGATCGCAAGAAATCTTTAAATACAGTTCTGTATCTTCTTTGCAACAGAATCTCTTTTGACTTAAAATTGACAACTTCTAGAAAACGGAAATTAGTTAGCGGCAGATCAGGGAAATAGAGTGGATATGACAGAATCTCGATGAACTTCTGCAGTGTTATCCTGTCTACAAATAGTACAGCATTGTCATGAAATTGGTCTTATTTTGCTTAACTGTGAATTTCATCGACTTACTGGCAGTAAACATTAACAATGATTCACTGGTTAGATTCCAGGAAGCTGTAATGGATAACGCCAATGACAGCCCACAAAACTGTCGCTTTTTGAAGGTGTTAGGGTGCTTCGTCATGATCAAACCAATGAGTCGAGCTTTTAGAACAGCGTTTCCCAACCTTTTCTCAACCAGTGCCCAAAAATTTTGTCAACGACCCCCCCGGTCAAATTAAATTTCGAATATTATACTGAATTCATCTTTCATAGCAAGATAACACTTAGGTATTAGTGCAAAAATAATGTTAATACTGTCTTCCTTTCTATTAGAAATGCCAATGATTAAAATCCTACAAAAACTTATTTGATAGATTGATGTTTTCAATGTGATTGTTGACTTTGATGCTTACTGGCTAAGGCTCTTACACTAGGTTCATTTGATAGCTTATCCCAATGTTTTTAATGCGGTGCTTGACTTTGCTGCTTACTGGATGAAGCTCTTACTCTAGGTTCCATGCTTCTTGGAAATAATCGTAAATCACCGTGTTTTGTAATCTGCATGCGGTTTCTTTGTTTAGTAAGAAGCTCTGTAACTGAGTTGAAACTGTTACGGTTTTTTTGTGTATATTATATGTAACTAGTGAGCGAGTCAAAGTGACTTAATTCCCTTTATAGTCTACCAATAGAAGATTAACCAATCAGGAGCTGCAGAACACTGGATCCGTCGTGTATAAAGGCGGCCATCTTTGTTTTCCTACCTGGATGACCAGAGGCAACTTATCCGGCAAACATGACAGACGGAAGAACTACGCTCTGCTACTTTGCTGCAATATCCACTGCGAACCTGCACTACGCTTTCCTACTGTCTCCGAAATATTCACTGCCAACCTCTGGATGCTATACTCGAAGACGACCGCCATGAAAATGTCTAACAGAAACCACATTCAGCCGTATAGCAAGTTGAAAAAGCAATGAAGAAATGTTTGATAGCTTTCCACAACATTTTCAGAAATTTCCTTTTGTAGGCAATATTGAATAATTTTTGAAAATCTGAAAATGGATACATGCGCACCGCCACCTGGGTATATTCACACAGGAATTTGAGTGACTCGCATAAAATGCCTGAACAAATAAAACTGTTGTCTAAGAAATATAAGAATAAAGGAAATTATTAATCAAACGGTTCATTTTGCTCGGCAACTAACTTTGTCCAAATGCATATAAATATTTTATTTTAATATAGATTACTGAAACAACAAAGGGAAGTAATCACTCATAAAATTACCAACTTATGATGATTTACCTCCCTTTAAACAAGAGAGTGGAAACATTCACCGATAATTTTTATTATAAAAATGTTCTAATATTAACGTATAAAAATTTTATACGTTAATATTAGAACATAATTCAAATATTTATTCTAAAATTAGTCATTATTTTTCGAACAAATTAATGCGTGTTCTCCTGTATTGTAGCGAGTGCTGGACAATCTCTTCAAGGATGAAGAAGAGGTTTGAAGTAGCAGAAATTTGGTTCTACAGAAAGATGCTGATACCATGGACCGAACGTGTGAGCAACGACGAAGTTTGAGAGAAAATGAAAACAAAAAGGAAATTTATACTTACCATCAAGAAAATGCAGTTGCAGTTTCTAGGATGCATAATGAGGATAGAGGGCTTGGAAAACCTGATACTCACAAGACAGATTGAAAGCAAGAGGAACGGAGGAAAACAACGCATAACATTCTTAGTGAGCTTGAGTAAATGGCTAGCAGGGTTTAGGAGAAATAACAGAAAGACAAAATTAATTAAAATCTACAAAGGACAGGAAATTGTGGATGACCATGATCGCCTACTTCCAGAGGAGACATGGCAAATAAAGAAGAATATCCTTTCTTTTATTTCTCTTAGTTTTATCGCAATACTTTTTCTGTCAGTCAAACAGAAATATTTATACTTTAGCCATTTTTATTTTTGGTTTGAGTGGTTAGAATTAGCTTTCTATATAGATCGATTTGGTTTGGATTAATCTTTGTTTTGCTTTTTCATAATACTTCGGTCATGTATCTCCTTGCCTTTATCAGGTGTCTGTTGGATTATATATTGTCTTTCCCACGTCATCATTGAAGGAAGGACAGTGAACACACGATGACACGTGTAAAAGTAAAACGAAAATGAGAAAATTATTTCGAACAATAACTTCCTATATATATTAAACAGTATAATAAATATGATAATTTTACCTATTGTCTACCTTTATCTAGTTCGCATAAAAAAAACAAATATAAAAGATAGCATATCGCTTCTATTCTTTATCTAAACGGCTCGTTAAGATGGTTACTATTTGCCTGTCTCCCTTTGCCAGCTATACGTCATACCTTCTTTCCTTCCAAACTTCTTTTCCTCAACTGTTTCTTTCTGATCTGAAGTATAAGTTTCCTTTGTTTCTACTCTCCTTAAAGCTTCTTTGTTGCTTACAAGCTCCACTCATGATATTCTCAGCATCCTTCTGTAGAAGCACATCTCTGTTGCCTAAAGTTTTCTATTCATAATCGTGTAAATAGTCCAGTTCACACTACTATATAGGAGAATTGATATTGTTAGGGTGGACTGAAGGGTTCATAGACTGACAATGAAGTGGTGATGCTAGAACTGTGAAATCTTGCATGCATTAATTTCAACTCTTCTCATTAATAACTGTATTGTTTATTTCAAGGTAAACTGATATCTGGCTGTTCAAAGAACATTATTCAATATAATGTCGTCTCCATCACTGCGATTATGATTCCCAGCCAACTGTTTTTTCATGTTAGAGAACAGATGCTAGTCAAATCAGAATAGTCAGAATAGCGGGTGATCAAACATTTCAAACAACAGTCACGCACCACAGACATTGTAACCTAGGACGTGTGCTGGAGCGTTGCCTGATGAAACAAGGTCATTTTCATCAGTTTTCCTGGGCGTTGTGTCTTAATAGCCTTTCGTAGCCACTTCGGCATAGTACTCGCCATTGATGGTGTGGCCCTTCTCACGATAAATAACAACACAATGCTTTTTGCATACAAAAAAAGCTGAATCCATTACCTTCCTTGCAGATGAAACGACGTTGAAGGAGGTGAGGGGGGGGTTCCACGTTATGGATTGTCTCTTTGTTTCTAGCTCAAAGTGCTTCTGTTTATCCTTTCCTCACCCCCTATACCCAGTCTTTTCCCTTACTTACACTCTCTGTAGCCCCTTACGTATTAGTTGCACTCCCGCCTTGCTTGGAGTGAAATGCTTAAAAAAAGTATTCATGGGTTATGAAATCTTCAAGGAAACCAGTTGGCTTTGCCCCAATGTCAGATTTTCCCGTGATGTGATCAGGTTGTTGTGCTTTTGATCATATGTCAGAAGACGTGGCACCACAGAGCATAAACTTTCGTCATGCCAAGTCTATTGTGTAGAATATTCTCAACTCTTAAGAGGGATAAGCTAATAGCATTGGCTATTTGATTTATCATCTATCGCCTGTCACCCATCACAATACGGTGAACACGATCAATGTTTTCCTCGGTGGTGGTGTAGTTGCACAACGTCCAGACCTTAGATCATCTTCAAGGCTCTTCCCTTCCCTTTCGTTCCTAAATTCGACTCACCAATTTTGCACTGTTGATAAAGCTGCACCTCGGCGTGGTGTAATGGTTAGCAAGCTTGTCTCGTTAAAACAGTTACGACTGAATAGTGATCCTCACTGGGTGCCCCATACTTTCGGCCAATGTCTAAGCTACGCTTAGAAAATCAATAAAACTTCAGCGATATCACTAATGAAGCAACCATGTCAGCATGAATGTTTTTGGGAGCTAAACACTTTTCCTACAGTTACTTGATAAATCCACGATACCAAATTTTAAAGAGAATTCACTGCTTGTTGGTTTTGAAGTCTTCTTTGAATAGTCAGATGTCAGTTTACCTGGAAAGGAACAATGAGGCTACTAATAAGAACTGAAATTAATTCAACGTGCAGCAGAAATATCTCTCACATAATGGTAAGGTATTAGCTGGATGATAACACCATTGCCAATTGCCTAAGTTAACTAGCACCACACAGCTGAGAGTTTAAAATGTGAGATGTATTTCAGTTGCACCGTTAGCTAATGTGGTAGGTATTTCTGGGAGTTATATGTAGGATGTATGTCTGCCACACCCTGTATATATCATGTGTCACAAAGTATTTTTTGAGGTGGGGGATTGTTATTGAATATCTCTTCAACGACACATACAAATTGCACAGAATAATGATATTGTTTAAATTTAATAATGTTTTACCTGATGGGGTCCACAATCTCAGACCAATGAGGTAACCTTGGATGGTTGGAGAGCAGGTAGGTGATGAACACAAACAATGAAAATATATTGTGAATGCTTCCCAATGCAAGCAGAATAATGTCATAATCTTTCTTGTTGATTTCTCTGATGACAGGATCAGAACTGAAGTAAGAGAAATCAAAATAATCATGAGTAAAGAGAGACAAAATGGAAATTATTTTTTTTAAATTTACTAATTAGAGTTAGAGGAGACACGGTGAAGTAATGGATAAGCCGATCGGATTGAGGAATTACGTGATAATACTCTTGGGAAAGGTATGAATCCTCTTCTTCTCCCCACCCCCTAGCTATGCAGAACAGACCGGGTTCTATAGCCTTGGATGGCAACAGGTCTACCGCAGAAAGAAATGGCAACCTACTGAGGGGAAAAAATCTGCCTCGTCAGTCATGTGTCGAAAGATACATGACCGCCTAGACGTGTATCACGCATGGCACATAAATGACTGAATTAGAGTTAGGATGTGCGAGTAGCTTAACGGTTATCGGCGCAGAAACTGGAACTGACGAATGAAGTTCGAATTCTAGTTTAGTCAGTTGCATTTGCGTTCGCATTGATGCTCCTAGGAAATCTCTAAATCCATTGCTTCTCTCTGTCTCGGCATATATAGTAAAATAGACTGAGTTCTTTAGTGATGGGTGCCGGTCAGTTTCGAAGACTTCTCTGAATTCAACACCTTGGAAAAGTCATTTTGGAAACTAGGCTATATTATAGCATTATCCTTCCCAAGTATCTATTGTGTTTTCCGCTCACATGAAGTGGAAAGATTACATCGAATCAATTATTAGGTCCGCTGCTCGGAAAGTTGGATTACCGTGTCGTGCTAGGCAATTTTCTCGCTAGATTTATAAATCTACCATTCGTTCATGCTTTGGATATTGTAATCACATTTTCCGGTAGTTCCGGTTTATAGATTCTTGATAAAATCCAAAGAAGAATCTGCAATGTTATTGGATCTGACATGGTATCTCAGCTCTAGTTACTTTCCCACCGATGCAATGCAGCCTTTCTCTGCCTTTTCTATAAATATTTTCATGGTAATTGTTTTAATGAAATTTCCTCTATGATAACTAGATTTTGTGAATTGAAGAGCAGTACTAGATTGGCAGCAAGGTATCATCATTTTTCAATTGAAATGGCTAGATGTAACCATAAGTTACAGATGTTATGACACCATTGCGTGCTCGTATACGCCGTTCAGCCGAAAACATTGCTGCAATGTACGAGAATGTGACCAAAAATCCAAATATCTCTATTCGTCATCGCGCGCAGGAATTGAACCTCTCCACAACAACGTTACATCGTTTCCGACTGCACTCTCAATTGGTCGATTATGTTGACCAAAAAAATCACGAAGTGCCCGAAATGCATTTCTGTTTGAACATCCATTTTTTTAATAGGCTTCGGTAACTTTACCATATTGTTTGATTGCTAATCTTTCACTTATCATGGTGTTCTTTCAAGGACGCACATTGATTTGAACAGTTATTGAGACTAAAACTCACCCCAGACCTCAAGTAGAATTCATATATATGATCAATTGCTAAATATACTAGACAAATTGTCAGTTCATTGTATTGCTCCACTGAGTATCTGACTCCTCCTGATAGACTATATTTTTACAAGAGCCAGATCAAACCCAAAATGGAGTATTGCTGATATATCTTCACTTGCCTGTCTTGATAAAGTTCAAGAGTGTCGATGTGGCCTTGTGAGTTATAAATTATTTTAAACTCTACAGTACCTTTCCTACTGATGAACGTCTTGCTAGACTATCGCTATTTTCATGACATGTGTTCTGATGAGCTTCATTCTTTGATCCAACTAATTTTTCAACTGGAACCGGCGATGCCACATACACAATGAGGAATCATCCTTATTTCCTATGTATTCCATTTGTAAGAATTAAGTTCTACCCGGACAGCTTCTTCCCTCGAACTGCTGTTTTGTGGAACAGAATCCCGGCAAGATGTTTTACCAATCGTTACAATCTTGACCTCTTCAAGTCCAGGGTTAATCGTTGTATTTCCTGCATAACCTCATGAACTTCACAACTTGCCTTTTCTTACAGTCATACAACACAGTGACCATCTCCCTTGAGTGGATCTAGGGCCTTTTATTCGGTGAACATTATTATAAAAAATAAAACAATTTATATATGGAGCAGTACTTCTGTCTTAAATCAGAGTACATCTGCGCTCTGTTTATGTTGAATGTAAATTTCCCCAGTCCTCTGCATAGAACCAGTAAAATAGGTTCTCTCGGCTTCTGCAATATTTGAAACCTAGTCCCAACTATTCTTTAATTTTGTGGCAACAATAGCTAACAAAAAAATTTGAATAAATATACTGTAACGAAAATTATGTTAGAGATTTCTTCTTAGCTAAGATCTATAATAAGATTATTTTTAAAATAAAGAACTTTAATCGTTACGTTTAAAAATATTTTGCAGTTTCTCTGTGAAATCTCTAAATTGCCAGCATTACTAATATTGTACTTTAGTGCCATTACGAAATAAAAGTTACGAATTCTTTATTTCTAGAACTAAATCCGGTTAACTAAATACTGATTTCTGTACGTTAAATACTGAAAAAATATAAATATTTTAGAAAATGTTTGGGAAAAGTATATTTCCAAAACTCACTCGTGCATTTGATTCAAGATGTTTTTCTGAGCTTCTGCATCTCCACTAAATTTCTTGTAATCTTCCATAGATGCTTTCGAATTCCATGTGACCAACATAACAATATTAATTGCCAAACTGAGAATCGTTGTCCCGTGATTCCAAAGCAACCTATACGTTCGAAAAACAAATTAGATGTCTTAGATGTAGTGTATGGATATTGAAAGCCTTTGGAAGTCAAGGTACATGTAATACGCAAGAATATAAACCGACAATAAATATAATAAATCAACTTTAAATGCTTGCGATTTTTCTTTGTTTAAATTAATGACGGAAGTTAAAATAAATCCTGTATTCATACTAGGTTTCTTAAAAACTTCCGTTATTAATTATAGGTTTAGTAAAATCAAATATTAATTGTAGGTTTATATAAAATTCGGTATTAGTTATAGATTTCTTCATTGAATCTATTAATGGCCCCAACATCCAAAAAAAGGCGGTGTGCATTAATGGTTCAAGTGAAGTTTCTCTGGATAAAAACAAATAATTCTGAAGATTTCATTTTAAAAATAATGAAAATTTCATACAAATATTTTTTAAAAAAATACAGTAAGTCCCCGGGTTACGACAGGCCCAACCTACGACGATTCGGGGTTACGAAGCAGTTTCCATTAAACTTGTTTCGACTTATGCCGTTTGCCTCGTACATACAACGCAAACGGAATAATACGCGGTGCGGCGGAAGAATACATTGCGCGACGGAAGAATATATTGCGCGGTGGAAGAATACATTGCGCTAGAGTGAGGAAGGCAGGGTAAGTTAGTCCCCAGTTGTACGCCATAATGGATTGTTGTACATTCTTCTCCTTCGTTTGTGATGTGTTTGTGGAAACTTCTTTCATTCATTGCCTTCTAGACGTAATGTAAGATCTTCTGATGGCTGTACTTCAAAGAAAAGTAAAGCCATTACCGTGGAAGTGAAAATTAAATAAAATAGAAATTAGTTATGTCCTACATTATTACTTTACTATTACGTTAGTATAGATGAGAGAAGTAAGAGCTTACTCCCGAAAAATCACGGTAAACTGAGTTACTCGAAAAATCGCGTTACGACGCATCGCAGGAAGGGACTGTGTCGTAAGTCGAGGACCCCTGTATCCATTTACTTTTGCAAGATTTAAATTTCTTCTCATTGGTTTACAGTGGCGGACTGGATCTAAAAATAATTGTTACAAGGAAACAAAGGGGTCTACCCACAACTATATAATGATATAATCATTTAATTTTGATAAAGAATGAATAAAATTTTCAAAAAATGCATATGGAAAAAAGGGTACAAAAAATGCATATGGAAAAAAGGGTACAGTTAAAATTTTTGCGGAAAAAATGTGTATTTGTAAGTAATGTGTATATGTAATGTACATATTACTGGCAGTAGATAGCAAAAATATAAATCTGTTGTTTATTTATTTTTAATTTTAAGTAATTGATATTTTTAAATAGTTTACGGCGCAATTTGCACATTAACAGATAGTTCAAAGGTACAAATAGGCATTACATGCAAGTCGTTTCTGTTATGATGTTAAGAGCAGTCTGATTGTTTGAATCTACCAATAACTGCTTCTGCATCGAATTTATCTAAAGATTCCTTTTCAATGGAGGACAACATTTATATTTTCAAATTCTCCTACAGCGAATTTATTCACCTTGTCTTTATGATCTTTTGCTTTGAAAATGTCCTCTTACATTAGATTTGTATTAACTGATAGTGTGTAAATCTTCTTATAATGTTCTTATTCCTTATTTATAATAAAACAGATCTCTGTGTTTGTTTCTGTATGCATTTCATTTCACATAGATTACTCCACTTTATCAGGGTCCCACTTTCCACCGGGTAAGCTGACACCCTGTCCCGTCTGCCACTAATGGTTTAAATCTGAAGCTTAAAAACAAATTTATTTCTTTAAATGAAACTGAATTCAAAATATAAACAACCTTGCGTAAATTATTATAGTCTCTCATTACCTTTTTTTTTCACAGTTAAACTTTAATGAAAATCTACATTTTAATAGAAACGTTATATTTTAAATTCTGTGAAATATTTTCTAACATACAATTGCAATTTTATTCATATTTAGGGTAAAACTCATTTATTTAGGTCTATATCTGTTCATATACTGTCCTGTATATTTCAGCATTTAAAAAATATCAGATTTTACTTTTAATTTTCATTTTCTCACCAACACTTCTGGGTGTACAACTTGCGTATATATATTAGACAGTATAATAAATATGATAATTTTACCTATTGTCTAACTTTATCTAGTTCGCACCAAAAACAAATATGAAAGATAGCATATCGTTTCTATTTAATGTTATCTAACAAATTGATTAAATTCGACTAAAATGTAGAAATTTTAATTCCAATAAATTAAAAGCTCTTCTTAAAATATTTCATAACAAATGTAACGACTTTATCAAAATGCATTAGACAAGACTAAAATTAAAAGTTCAGTATTTCCAATGGAGACTCATAATTTAAAAAAAACAAAAAAAAACAATCGTATGAAACTTTGCAACTAAAAATTCCTAAGAAAATTTGAATATACAAACCAGCAATGCGTGAAGAACATGGCGATAGGATTGTGTAGAATTTTCCTCTGATATATGATATCCTTCATAATGTCACGTGTCCAGTCCATAAGATCCCGGATCTTGTTACTGGGAGAAGATCTGTCCACACTCCACTTGAGTTTTTCTTTGACTTCCTCTCGAAGGACTTTCTGTTAAATAAGTAATATAAGTTATAGACTTTCTGTTAAATAAGTAATATAAGTTATAGACTTTCTGTTAAATAAGTAATATATATATATATATATATATATATATATATATATATATATATATATATATATATATATATATATATATATATATATAATAAAACCAGGTGCTAAAGCTTGGATGTGAAAATGTATTGCATGTATTTTTAATATGAAACTGTATATTTATACTCTCATAGAGTTTTGACTCCAATTTGGGAGCTAACTATTTACTCATAGCTTGGACCCTAACAGATGCTACCACTTCCGGTCAGGGTCCTTGCTGCCGGATGTAGTTTATCGTCATACCTATAATACCGATATAATATGATGTGCCTGTATTTTGTGTTTTCGTTTATACAATCTTTTACTTACTTTATTCCGAACTCTAAAATTGATTTTTTGTAAAATGTCATCTTTGACAATTTCTATTGATTGGACGTTCTTTTTGTAGTATCCGAATGCTTTCATCTGTTCGGGTGTCAGGCTCAGTGCTGCAAGAAAAACAAAAATTACATAATCTAAAAATAGAAAAAATAACATTTGTTTATATACAATTGAAGAATACAATTGAGTTGAACTTTAATGGATAAATAAGAATAGATGTATTTGGCTGCTTAGAATATTATTGTGAATCTTTGAAAGTGTTTGCAATTGCTAATCAGATTGGTTCACAAAATTAAACTAAGTGTTCAGTCACGTACGAAATTGTCCTTTGTGATAGTTCAGTTATTAGTGTGCGTACGTAAAATAGAAATCATTATAAAAAGACTTAGAAATCATTATAAAAACACTTAATTGTTTATATGAAATTAAAATACATTAAATGACTCAATACAAGGTTCAGCATTACAATAGGTTACGTTTTTAAATTTTTGAGACAAGGAATTATTTTTGTTGAAAACATTTTTGAGATTTTGATATGGCTGAAAATGATGTAAATTTTTCAGTATTTCAAACTTTTGCATCACATATATTCACAAAATTCTCTCTCTCTCTCTCTCTCTCTCTCTCTCTCTCTCTCGACGTACGTGTATGTGTGTGTTAGTAAATAAAATAATTCCCTTACATTTTTCTCTATCTATTCTTATAATATAAATGTTATTTTTAGTAGGTACACGTCTTTGAGTTGCTATCCATGGTTTTTTTTTCCTTTTTTGTTTGTTTTTTTGTTTTTTTCTTAAACAGTGAAATTACAAACAACCAACCCAGATCGAGAAGACAAAAAAAAACCTGTATCCCTTTTTCCATCAGGCAAAACCACTCTTATAACCGAAGATTGGATTGGTTTCCCCATTGGAAAAAAAGATACAGATTTTAATTCCTGTCAGAGTGTACATTTTTTTTTTCTTCTCGATCTAGTTCGGTTGTTATTAATTTTACTGTTTAAGAAAAAAAATAAGAAAAAAAATCATGGTTTGGCCAATAATGATGAAAAAGTATTTGACGGTTTAAGTTTAATTAAATAAATGTAATTCGTACGCGTGGAATTTAGTTTCTTGTTAAAAAGTCATGGGGCCGAAATAAAAGTTAAAAAGCTGCGAAGTGAATGAAAGTTAGGAACTTAAATAATGGTTCAAGGGAGGTAACTCTTATATAACTTGAATCATGAACATCGATCTAGGTCTATTTTTCACCACAAGGGGACAGCAACTCAAAAACTTGTACTAAATAAAATAACATTTATAGCAATAAAAAATAAAAAATTCCATTTAAAAAATTACTATATATAGTTTGAATTTAGTTTAATATATAATAGGGTTGGCCAAACCGCGGCGCGACAACCACATGCAACTCTTTGACCTTTTAAGTTACAGCTCGTGGAAATATATTGGGTGAGCTCCTTTTTTCATCACAGTATAAAAGGTAAATAAGAAAAATTTCAAGCTTTATAATTATTTAATGGGTATGAATTGAGGCCCCATTGAATTAAAACGTAAGTTTAATGGTAATGTGTACGTAATATGTGTAAATTTTGTTCATGTCTTCTGGCTCTCAAATATTTGAAATTTATCGTATGTCACTCTTCAAGTTTGGCCACACCTGATATATAAAAATAAAATGTTTTATTTTCTAGAGAAATTCTCCCACCGTTTAATAACAACTCTGGCGCATCAAAAAAAAGAAATTAGAATTTTTTTTAAATATATAGGAAGAAATAATGTATGTCACTTACAATCGATCAATCCTGGGTCAATGTCAATCATCCGCGCAATGATGAGGAAAAGCATGAAGCCTGTTTCAAGGACCATTTCCTTCAGCTTGGAAGTTTTCTTTCCTTTCTATCGATGAATGAATAAAAAAAAATGATTAATTTCATTTTATTTCAACTAAATTCTCAATTTTATTTGCAGTATGTAAATACTAAATACACAAGATGGAAAAACAACGAAATAATCTGCATCCAGTTTTAACAAGTATCGAGACAGAGAAATCATTATTGTCTATATAACTTTGCTTTACAAATGACACCCATTATAAACTAAGCAGTAACTATATAAAACTTTACAATTAATCGAATATTTATTGTAGCAAAAGACTGATGATAGAACAATGGACATATCAGTAAAATCAGCAACTGATATTTCGTATTGCCATTGTCCTAACCATAAACTATTCTTTAAGCTTTAAATCAAATAAAATTCTGCAAATTTAAAATTTGATACTCACAACAAAACAGTTATACTTTATTTTCTATTGCATGACAAAGGACTTTTTCTTTTACGCAAACACATTTTGGAAAATTTTTTTTTTTTTTTAATATTACCCAATTACTTTTACCAGAATGTGAATTATGATATTTTTGCCCTCCATATGTTTTCACTGACCTTTCAACCATTTGATGAATATTCATAAACTTTCTCAAATATAAAAGCCTTGATAAATCAATGACATCCTTGATTTTGTATGTAAATATGTGCAACAAAATAAATCCTACATTGCATTAATAAGGTCCCTCAGAGAACGAAATACGTCGGATAAGAATAGTCTTTTCTCTTGTCTTTTTATTCTTATACATATATATATATATATATATATATATATAAGTATAAATATGGATATAAACCAAATAATTAGATATTAACAACTGTATATACGTGCGTTAGCGTGCATACACAGGTAAGTGAATAAATATTTACTTAATTTAATATAAGGTGTAAACAAAACAGTGTTCAATGTGGTTAGACAGAGCTAAAAATTATCTATTAATAATTATACATATCCCTACATTCGTAGTGCAACTTAAAGTTTCGTGGTTCTACCAACTCATCAGGCACAAACTATTACGGTTGTTGTTTTTTGAATACTAGGTCTATATATATTTTATATATATAAACTTAATATATTATTTGGGTGTAAATACAAAATGTAGTTTATAGGTAGGAAGCTATTATAAAAAGAAAATAAAGATGCAAACTTTAAAAGTTTAAAAAAGAACGCCAGGTAACTCGTTAAGTATTAATAGATGTTAAAATGGTTAAGGTGGGGTTAATCAATATGTAAACTAAAATTGTAACGGTCATGTGATATTTGCATAATTTATCTATCTAGAATTAAAATACTTTAATATTTCTTTCTGTGATTACAAGCTAAGATGAGTTCATTTATTAAGTAGATTTTGGTTATTTATATTTTGGAGAATGAATCTTTTTTTTTTCCAGCAAACACAGTTTGCATCGGTCGCTGCGGCCGGAAAAGGGTGTAGATTGGGCGACGAAATTGCAATTTCCAATCATCTGTTTTAATATCCCAGTAAAATTTTGAGAGTGCAGTGGCATTTGCATATTGCGTATTGTTAAAAGTCATTTTATGGTGATAATATCGGGTTTCCAATAGTTGGGTTTGTAACCGAAATAAAATTTTGTCTTGTCATTATGTTTAATGCTAGCCTTGTAGATGACGCCTTTATCCATACATTTATGATTTACTGGACCGTTAATGTTTTTTTCGACAATTACACTTTTTTCTGTGTTAATATTGTTATTGAGGTTGTTTAAACATTTGTTTAATGTTACATTATTATGCTGTGCTACATGTTGCAAAAATATTAATGACGAAATCTACTTAATAGAACGTAGGTATATGTATATTTATCAATATATATATATATATATATATATATATATATATATATATATATTGTGTGTGAGAGAGAGAGAGAGAGAAAGAGAGTGTGTAGTAAACAAAATGTTCAGATTTATCTTCACGACTCAGAGTTACGCAGAAATGGTATACATACATATATGTGCGTGTGTGACAAAATTGAAAAACGTTAGACCTTCCACTCTAAGAAAAGATTTCTTCAGAATAATAATGATTTTATCGATGGTCTCTCTCGCTCTCTTTCTCACACACTTTTTCTATTTTCGCCTGAAAGCAATGGAAAGGTGAGGCTAGCTCGGGCTAAAGTCTAACGTTGAGAGACATCAGACGCTAAACTTAAAAAAAATATACAGATTCATTTAAATTTGATGCCAACCGTCCCTGTATAATCGAGGCTTTTCGATGTAAAATTCTAACTGGCATTTGTTGTATTTTATTCCCACTGACAATATATACAGACTGTATCGATAAAACCAAAAGTCCATTCGAGGACCGAAACGCGTATCCTCAGACTTTTCCATTTTCTAATTGTTCCTTTATATATATATATATATATATATATATATATATATATATATATATATATATATATATATAGGTACATCCAAAGATACGCTAAAAAAATGAGGATACATCATTTTATCGTCAGATTTTTATGATATTATTAAGAGGAAAAATCTAAGAACTTTTTGATTATTAAATTACTATTTTCCTATCGTTTTTAGAACCTTCAAAATTCTGGCTAAAATTTTGTTTTCTTGCATCAACAGGTGACCATTAGTATGAGAAATTTTATCGTGCCTTTGCGGTGTGAAATCCAATGATTGGATGTTCTCGCAAAAATCAGATAATTGTCGAATCTTAATGAAATTTCCCGGACTTATTCACAACTGAATGAAATTATTTATCAAAAAATTTTCTATTTTAGAATGTCTTTGTATTTTTACAAAAACTTTCTAAAGTAGAAAAATTAAAAAATAATTTCATTATCTTTTTTACATCTGTTAACCCCAACTTATTTAATTTTATGAAATTTCGAGAAGGTCTTTTTTGTAGCACTTAATGTTTATATTAGGTATAAGGACAAGACCTCGAAGAATTTAAATAATCAAATATTTTGATCGAACAGGACCCGCCAGTTACAGAAAATCTGATATGAATTCTAAAACAAAAAAGTTAATAAAGCTAAGACATTGATTAATAAGAAAAGCTTTTAATTGCTTTTATCTATAAAATATATTTTGCACATTATTGTCTTAAGAAAAAAATGAACTTTTACAAGAAGTTTTTTTTTTAATAAGAATAATTTATAATCTTTTAAAATCTTATAATTTATAAAATTTTAAATCTTTTAAACTTCTGTATTAATTTGTAGTGGTCAAATGTTATTGTTATTTAATTATGACCTTTTTTACTAATCATAAGTGGAAAAGCTCACTGTAATTCAACGACCCCTGCCCAATATTTTAAAAAGAATTTTTAATTTATTTTATGTGTGTATAAACGTGTCAATTTTTGTAAATACGATTATCCAAATGCGACCTAATCAGAACATAAGAGCGATAACTATAGTAAATTTAAAACTTATTGGTAATTTTCTAACATTTCCTCAAGAAGCGTCTTTGTAAGTTAGACTATTCAGTGAAAGTACCTAAAATCCCAAATTGGATTGCTTAGAATATTTTCTTAATTTTGTTTTTAAATTAGTAGAGAGTTAAAAAAATATATTTTAAAAAAATTGTTACAGTTAGTACGTATTTATCGCCCTTAAAAAATCCGAAACATAAGTCTAGTGAAAAAGTTGTTAGCACCTTATAAAAAATCATCCACCCTGTGTTAAAAAAAAAAATTAGGCAATATTTTTAAAAGTAAGTAATAGTTGTTTCCAAACAGATTAATTAAGATTTAAATCAGCCAGCTTTTCTCAAATACAGTTTATAGAAATATATATTATATTTTTCATAGATTTCTTAATAAAGAACTTGATGTGATGTTGACAGATTTGTCAATAGGGACGATTTTAGCATATTTACCGATAATAAAAAAAAGACTAATTCAAATCAATTTAAATTTAGTTTGGAAAAAAAAAAGGATTTTGCCTATTGGAAATATTAAACTTAACGTATTAGCGTGAAATTATAACTAAAATAAAAGCTTCAAGAAAGATTTTTCAATTTTAAAAATTAATGTGAAAACTTTTTTGCCTGTCTTTGGCGGTACCTAAAGAAAATATATATATATCATTGCACCTAGAATGCTATGCTTTTACGTACAGACATGTAAGGAACTTATGAAAGAATGGTTATATATATATATATATATATATATATATATATATATATATATATGTGTGTGTGTGTGTGTGTGTAAAACCCGTTGGAATATAATCCAAGCCAATCCTAATAATATAAAATATTAAAACTAGTCCATAAAAAGAGCTCAATGTATTTATTATAACAGAGCATATAAGTTACATAACAGAGAAATCCAAAATTACCTCATAAGAATAGCTATTTCAACCAGACGATACTACGTTGGCATTTTTCGACACAGATATCTATATCTCACTATCTGAGTATATATATATATATATATATATATATATATATATATATGAAGACATATAGTCTTAAGTTGTGCTATATTTATGGGATAAAGTACTCAATATCAGAGATAGAGCGTGTGTAAATTTAAAAAAGTGAACATAGAAGTGAACACTTAGAGTCGACTGTCTGTTTTTCATGCTAGATGCAATCGTCAGGCTACGACTCGTGGCCTGACGATTGCATCTAGCATGAAACAGACTGTCGCCTCTAAGTGTTCCTTCTATGTTCACTTTTATGTATATATATATATATATATATATATATATATATATATATGTGTGTGTGTGTGTGTGTGTGTGTGTGCGTGTCTGTGTGTGTGTGTGCATATATATATTGTTTGCTTAATAGGATACTCTCATATTTACAAAAATTACCATGCTGATGCATATTTATTTTATCCTGAGTACTTTCGACATTAGAAAAATATCATCTTCAGGGTCTTGTTTTATCTAAGACAAAATTGTTGTGTTAGTATGAATTTTTTTTTTTCCTTTTTTTACTTGTGAAGTGAAAAACGTTAAACCTATCATTTTGTATAATTTTTAAATCTTATGATGCAACGACAAGGGAGATAACTAAGTTACTGCGATGTCTAACTATTTTTTAAAAACTATTTATTGCCTTATCCGTAAATATGAGGGGCTCTTATTAAGAATAAGTAGACACAACGTGTTTAGCCTAAGGGTGAGAGATTCCGACTGATGTCAAATCGATCGTGTTTCGATCACGTCTTGAAGCAATCGCGTGTCTAACCAAACTGATGAGCTATGATACAACGAAATAGTCTGTCTGTGGATGACTATATATATGTGTGTGTGTGTGTGTGTGTGTGTGTGCGTGTGTGCGTGTTTGCATATCATGTGGGATTAATTTTAGTTTAATATGACATTTTAAGCCAAGTGATGTTAAAATTTATTTCATAATCATTTCAAACTTTGGGCCCTTAATAATATATTGATGTTTCTGAGCCACTTACAACCACTTCTTGCAACAGATTTCCACCAAACTGCGCAATGGATTTTGCCGATTGGATGTAATTGGTTTGTCCAACTTTGATAAAATCTTCCATTTTGGTCTTCTCTGATTGCGCTAATTCATAGCACCACGTCATTCCTTCGCAGATCGCTTTTTTGTCCAGCGTATCTTTTACTTCCTGAATATAGGATAAGAAGAATAAAAACAAAATTCCATCACAATAACAAGAAGAAAATAAGAAACAGATCTAAATTTCGACAAAACAGAAACATAAATCAGATGCTGTAAGCTTGGATGTGCGGTCGTATTATACACAATGGCTCGAAATTGTTAATGGGAGAACGGTTCGAATTTCAGTTGGGTTCGTTATTCACTTACGCTCAAAAACCCTTGCAACCTCTTCTTCTTATATTAAAAACAGATCTTATTTTCTATTAGAGAAATTAATTTTAAAATCATTAAATTGATAGCTTTGGTTTAAGTAATTAACATAACATAAAAGCAAACTGACAAATAACGAACATAATGATAGATTAAAAATAATAAGAATGTCACAGAAGCCTGAACTGATATGAGAGAAATCAAAAAGGCATCATAGATTCCGGAGAAAGAGAAAAAAAATTACTGAGTTATCGTCTACACTTCATCAAATCTATTGCTTCTTAAACGCTCCGGAAATTAAACAAAGTAAAAAGGTAGTATTTTCGATCACTGTTCACCAAGACGGGAGGATGGGCGTTTGTATCTCTATCTTTAGACAGGTTGCCATCAACGGCTAAAGAACTCAGTCTGCGCTTCTCTTGAAATGGGGAAAAGGAAGAAATGGAATCACGTGTGAAAGGTAACATAAGGAATTCAGTCGGAATTCGAACATGATTCAGATTTTTTACCCAAACTCATTATAAAACTACACACACATCCATTTGGAAATTAATTGTTAAAATAAATTAATAAAATTGTTCAATTTTTGTATAATTTTGAACAAATTCACTACTCTGTTTATCTGTCAAATTGTTCAACTTGCCGAATATTTAACCAAATATTACGTTTTTCTCACTAAATATTTTATTTCTTTCTCTAGGAGACTTTTCACGATTCTTAAAATCCAGGCCATTTTGGATAGCATTTCAGGAACAGGAGAAAAAGGAATTACCAAAACCGTTTCTTGAGCTTGTAACAATTGAAAAGATTACAAATAATTTCCATGTTAAAACACCGGTTCTCATAATATCACCGAAGTTAATCAACGTTGAGCCTGGTCAATACCTAGATGGGTGACCGATCAGGAATATCAGGTGCTGTAAGCTTGGATGTGCGGGTGGTATAATGGATAAAAGCTCGAGAGCCGAGTTCCAGTTCCATTTGGGTTCGTTATATGCACTTACGCACAAATACCCTTGGGAAAGGTATGAACCCATCTCTCCCTGCAGCTATGGGTTAATTATTAGATCTTGCATCTGTAAATCATTATTATCTCAAAAAATTCTTATAATCTAAAAATTTTCTGGTTAACCTGATAAAGGTAGATAAACCATAAAAACAAGTCTATCAAAATAATATAGTTTCATCTTGATACAAAACAAAATTAAACTTCAATACAAAAATGATGTTCTAACATATATAGGCCTTACCTTCGCAATTTCGGATGCACCATGTCCATTTTCTTCAATCAGGGAAATTATCAAACGGGCAATACCCAGGCGTAATTCGAGAACCTGTCATCACGAATGAAAAAAATAAGAGAAATTAATTCTGTAAGTTTTAAGTCATTTTTTGGATAACGTTTTATTAGAGAAGGGGGTAGCTTTTGAAAGAAAATAAAATGTACTAGTATTAAATTTAGTATGAAAACGAAAAGCAATATTCAATTATTCTCTGAGAAACAATAAAAATAACTTTAGTAGCATTAATGACAAAACAGTAGAAAAGTTAGCAAAATCAATGATTCTATAGAGTTACAGAATGTCAAGGAGCCATATTAACATTTAAATTGATAAAATAATTTAATCGGATATATGGGGGAGTTTGTTAATAAAATATAAGGAATATGTTTCTACAGAATGTATCTTTTAGATGTGCCAAGGATAATGTTGCATATAGTTCTTATAGATATAAAACCTAACACCTGCAAAGTTATAATCAACATTCTTAATAAATACAGATATTATAAGTCCAAATGTACATAATGTAATTATCATATCAATATATATATATATATATATATATATATATATATATATATATATATATATATATACTGAAAATTCTACCGAATTTTAATGTGAAACCTTTGACTTGTATAATAAAAGGTGACTCTATCCATATTACATTCGTTCATTTTTAAGACACATAATTTCTAGCATGTTTTAATTGTGTATAAATCTTTATATTTATGAATATTTGGGCAGCAACAGCCTTTCTTTAAAACAGCTTTCGTTGAATATGACGGACAAGAAAATATTTATTAATTTTTTATTTAGTTTTTCCAGTGTTCTTAGTCTTTTCTGTTTGGTTGGAGTGAGCGAGTACAAAAACTGTTCAAATCGTTGATTATCCCAAGCGTTTTCCGTCAATTCTTTAACTGTTTTCAAGTGGGATTGTTTTTGTGTTATTAGTTTATTTTCATGTTTTTGACTGTGTGAGATGTAATATTCGTGTATTATTTGTAAATTATAGTAGGGACTTAATTCCGAGCCACCGTGTGTTGGGCATGGCTGGGATTCTAGTGGGCGCCTTTCTATTTTTAAAAGACTTTCACCATTCCGTTACCGTGATTAAACAAGGTAATGTGATGGCGTGAGAGAGCTGTTTGATGTACAGTACCTCTTATATAACGAGATGTTCCAGAAATTTGATTTACAAAGGACTTTAGAGTCTTCGACCAGTATCTTTCTTAATGGGCCTTGCAGATTATAGGTTGATAAATGCCTTTTTATGGCGCTTTGCTCTGAAAAGTGACATGTGAGACGTCTACTCAAGGAGGTGGTCGTATGTCCGATATAGGTAATTGATTTATGACAAGAAACACAGACTTGCACTGGGCAGTGAAATTGGCACACTACGAATTCCAGTCGAATCCATTACATTCACTTACGTGCTAATACCCTCTTCTCCCAACAGCTAAATAGCAGGACAGGGTTCTATAGCCTTGGATGGCAACCTACTGCGAGAAACAATTTGCCTCATAAGTCATGAATTGAAAGATACATGATTGCCTAAGCATGGCATATAACTGATATTGGTCATCGCCAGTTTAGATTTGATGAGGTTAATTTGATTATTAACTAGAAGAATCTTATATTGTCAATGACTAACCTTTTTTGATGGACAGTCTTGCATTTCCCCAGCTCGAAGGATAAAATTGATATAATCAATAATTTTTCTATCATGCATCACCACGCGATTCTCTTGGTTCCCCTGCAAAAAGGATTTAAAACAATAAACCTTCTGTAATAAATGTCTTAACTGAATAATAAATCCATTCTTAAAAACAAGAAGCATTTAAAATAAGGTAATTTTGTTTGGCCAAAGAAAAAATTAACGAACAGAATCCAAAGCAAATCGAATCGTTTTGATGAGGGTTAAAATATGCCAATAATGAAAAACTTCTCTAAGGTAAAAATAGACAAGCACAAATAAGAATAAGGCAAAGAGAGTAATGTTGACAAAGATCCACAAAGAGGTTTTCTAGAGTATAAATGATAGCAATAAGAAAATATTAGGAGATTTTAACAAACACTAATCAAGTTATGACAAGATATATTCAGAAAATGTTATCTCTAGAAGAGACTTTCCAATATACACTGTAACATTCCAAAAGAGATGCGAAAGTGCGGAACGTATCCTTGATCTACGAGTCATCAGTCGTCAGTGTGCTTAGAGATGGTTAGGGACAACTCATCCCCACTAGATCATCGCCGAAAATTTGTCGCCACTATGCCGATGTAGACTGTTTAATTTATTAATAAAATTACATTTTAATTTAACCAATAATTTAAAATCTAAATATGAGGTCTAATAAAAAAGTACTGAGTGTGTTGATATGGTAACGGACCTAAGGTACGCAGAGTGAAGTCGCTTGGCACAGATTTACCTTGAACCCTGTCGCACTTGTATTCTATGTTATAACGTTCTCACTCGCTTCCCTTGTTTATAACAGTTTGGAAAGAAAGTGTGTAGGGTGTGGTCGTCTCACCATACCACAGAGGTTCTATCAGCGAGCATGGCTTGTGCAGCAGTTTTTGTCCAAGTACCACATTCCCTGTGTCCGACAACCACTATATTCCCCAGATTCCGCCCCTTGCGACATTTTCTTGTTAAAAATAGTAAATCCCACTTGAAAGGAACAAGTTTTCAAGGCGTCGAGAAAATCGAAGATAATTCGACGGCGCAGCTGCGTGCCATCCCCAAAAAAGAAGTTTCAGGAATGTTTCTATCTATATAAACAACGCTGTATAAACCGTGTAGCTTCAAAAGAGGGACTACTTCGAAGAGATTAAATGCTGAACTGCTACGTGATTTATACTTTTTATAGCACGAGTCCGATACCTTTTGATCAGACATTTCGTATCATAAGGCTTCTTTATTTTAATTTTTCTCATAATTTATAAACATCGAGCAAAAAGGCTCATAAATCAATATTCGTACAACTTATAGAATATGTAAGATGGAAATTTGAAAGAATATCTTATTGATTTTCGGAAGTCGAACGCTTGCAGTGCAATTTGAAAGTAAGACGCTGGGGGGGGGGCGTTTGGGAGTGCAGTGTTGGTTATGACCCTAAGACTTGGTAAAAAAAAAAGCATTCTTTGTTTTCATTCTCCTTACAATATACTTGTGTGAATATAGATTTAATTGTATTTCGTTTATCAAGACAAATCTAGAAATCGCTTGAATCCATAGGCAGACATGCGCATTTGCAAATAGCAAAAAGGTGCAATATTCTAATAAAATCATGAAAGATTAACAGGAGAACAGAAATAATAGAATTTTATTTTCAAATTAGTGATTCATTTTGATGTTAACATTTTTTTTTAAATTAAAATCTAATTACTAAATTTATAGTTGCAATCGTGCTACCTTGAACTAGTACCCGTTAAGCTCAATTTGTTCACTAGCATTAATGTATGTGTGATTCAAACAAAATATAATTTCGACTTCTTAGTCTCCATTTTACTTTTTTAGGGGATCCAAACATTGACCAAACATTAACTCGGGGTGTGGGGCACAAAAGAAATTTGGGGACCCTTGCTCTAGAAAAACATGCTGTGGGTCATCCCTTGGTCACTTCAATATGGTGTAATGGTTAGCAAGCTTGTCTCGCTATATCAATTGTGACTGACTTATGAGTTCGATCCCTATTGGGTACCTCATCCTTTTTTTTCCCAATTTCGACAAGAAGTCGTTAGAGGGTGCTGTTAAGCGTCTATAGAAAACGGAACACACCCTATCTTTGTCTATTCCTTCTAGCATGCGGTAAAAGTAACCCCAACGGGACATGTTCCTGGTAATTAGGATATTTCCCCTTAGTGACTGAACTTACGCGTGCGCGCACACACACGCACACACATAGGTGAATCCCCACCACCCAGTTCTTAACTTTCAATATTTTCTTTCATTTTCATTCATATATTTTCATTCATGTATTAATTCAAAATATCGCTTTTCTGGAATTCATTCATTTTCTTACACTCATCCTTTACTAGTGCAAAATATTGTTGGCACTGCTTTTTGTCTAAGAGTAGTGCCTGCAACAATATAATTTCTAAAAAATGACCAGAAGAGAATACTATGATTGTAAAGCTGGTTTCTATGAATGACTAATAATGAACATAATGATAGATTAAAAATAATAAGAATGTCACAGAAGCCTCAACTGATATTGGACAACTCACCAATCTTGTGCACCGACTAAAGCAACTGCTTGCATTAAAAACATAAAATTAATCTCAATATTTAAAAGACCCTTGGAGTTCTCCATTTTGAAATGTTCCTAAATGTATACATTTGAAAATATGACTCAAAGGCCGATCTCAAATTGGGAAGCGTAAAAAATAAAGAGAATCATTCACATATTATACATACGGAACAGAATTCATTCAAGGTGCTGAACAGTTGTATGACGAGGTCAATTGTCTTGTCATTAATGTTGGAGTAAACGATGTTCAAAAATTGTGCCGTCTCTGCAACAATGTTGAATGACTTGATGTTGTCCGGCTGTTCTCGTAAATAGTTCTGTAGACGATTAAATTATGTAAGTGAATATTAGATCAGTATTACGACAAACGAGATGTTGTGGATAAAGCTGAAAAAAGAGTACTTTACAGATTATTTTGCGTTTCATCAGACAGATGAGGTAACCACAGTTAATGTTAGGTAATGATTATAACAATATGGACAGAATAATGGTTAACAAGTTAACAAAGTTGGCTTGCGATTATCTCCAAACACGAAAAAGACCATGGAAGTAAATCCAGGCAGAAAAACCGGAGTGGAGCTTCCAATACGATTGGCCGTCAACACTGACAACTTTCACCAATTCCTGGAGTCAAGATGGCCCCAAATGTAATATACCTTGTATTCTTTTAGATCTTTTCAGTATCACCGAAAGAGAAATCATGTATTTGGGCAGCGCACAATCTCCAAATACCATGACGCAGGCCTACACCCTTGAGAGTTTTACTTGAATTTTAACCAAACAGGCTGCTACCTTTCTCTTGCAAGATAAACGAATGACTGTTGTAACGTTAACGATTCAAAAAGTTATTAGTATATTGAATTAGATATTTACTGGATGCTCCTTTATTGTAGCCTTGTACCAATCTAAATTAAGTTTAGTAAATAGGTATAATACTAAGAAAATGATTTTCACTATCAATTCCAAATTTGAGAAAGTATCGGATAATAATTTTATATATGAAATTCTTAAAAAAGTTTTAAATTTCTGAAACTATTAAAACGTTGGGAGCCCAAAAATTTCTTGTTCGTTTGTCATTTTTAACAAAAAATAAAAGAATTTCAATGAAGGCATTTTTTTTTTCATTACTGTTTATATTATATAAAACACTAGCAGTTAAATTTCATGATGGGTGATACCATTTATTTGATATTGTTAAATATACGAGGATCGGCTGGAAAATTTATAGACTCACCAAAATTTAACTCTAAGTGGACACATCAGTTGGCAAACTAAAAGACATGTACCAAAATACAACAGCTGCCTGACATTTTAGTCTGCCAACTGATGTGTCTACTTACATTTATATCTTGGTTAGCTCATGAACCTTACAGCCGACCCCAGTGTGTATATGTTTATTTAAAAAAATAAGTGGTTTTGACAAGAAAGAGTTTTGTTTTTCGATTGTACCATTTATTCGATATCGTTAAATATACAGGGTGTCTCAATACAATGTATACACATTTTGAAGCTTTCTCAAGAAATAATTCAAGCAACGAGAACCAAGTGTATTTAATTTAAATAATGCATACGTAAACAGTTTTTATTTTAAATGCATGATCGTAAGGTTTTGTCATCTCCTTGTTTTCAAATTGAATTGTCCGATACGATCCAGACATTGCTGACACAATAAAATTACAAGCTGCAGTTAACATTTCGATAGGTATTTGGCTGCATTCTCGCTCTATGGAAACTTTCATTTCAGCGATTGTTGATGTCTTTGTAGCGTAGATTTTATCATTTAAGTAAGGAAAAAAAGTCCAATGGTGTGAGGTCCGGTGAACGAAGAGGATATTCTATAGAACCTCGTCTCCCGATTCATCTGTTTGGCAACATTCCATGTAGCTAAGCTCGCACATAATTATAGTAGTGTGGTGCTACTGAATTTAGCTTAAAATAAAATTTATCACCGGCCAAAACTTCTTAACAGGGTTACGGTTAGTGTGTGTACATTTTTAACAACACTATGTATGTTTATGTTGAAAATAATTTGGTTTGGACAGGAAATATTTGTCTTTCCATTGTATAATTTAGTAAAATGGTCCTATGATTAGATTTTCGCGACTGGCAAGCATTAATCTATTTTGGACTTAGTGGAAACTATCAACTCGCTACACGAAGAGAAAAACCTCATCCACTATGTATACCATTTAAAATCAACAAATACCTTATATAAATAAAGAATTTATAGGTTTTTCCTCTCTCAGAGTTGCATTCGTCTTCGTTTCACAAGTGTTTACAATCGCTGAGGTATTGTCTTTCCGACGACAAACTTTTTGTCAAAATTACCGGTGCATAATGCAGGGTGTCCCACGAGTTGAGGTACATTCTTCAGTTTATGATAATTCAAGTCTTTCTAAGTAAAAAATACCCTATACACATATGGTGTAATCTCTTTTATTTTTGGTACCAATTGAAGTTGTTTAAATGTTTTGTGGTGTTTATTCCTGTATCGGTGAGTAAAAGAACTTTTCTTTGTTGTATCGTAAATAATTTATTTGTGTATAGTTAATAAATGTTCAGTAAAAAATATTTTCGTCGGTGTACCTCTATCTATAAAAGGCAGGATGTGTGAGTGTGTGTGTGTGTGTGTGTGTGTGTGTGTGTGTGTGTGTGTGTGTGTAACGAATGCACGGCCGCAATTTTCGACGGATTTGCACCAAAATTTACATGCACATGCTCCAAGTTAGCGGGAAGGCCAAAACCGACGTTGCATTTCCCAACTCCCATCGATAGTGGAAATAATGGATTTTTCATGCTTCTACGGCAGTTTTCATGTAGTTTGCGGCCATTTTCTACTGGCCAGAGTGAGAGCCTATAGCTGGCTGCCGCGAATAGGCAGGAAGATTCTATTGGCCAGCGTGAGAGCACGAATGTTAACTGGCATGTTAGCATGCAAAAAAATCGCTAGCTGCATTCGTCACAAGTGGGAAAAATTTAAATCTGCATGGCACTTTACTCCAATTGGCTCATTCGCTTGCTTAGACTCAAAGTTGATTCTGATTCCACATAACTGGGTTGGATGGGAAAAAGTATTTGTTGTTAACATTCTTTTCTCATTCGGTTTTTCCAGTTACGAGTCCTTTTTTTAAAGCTGATCATTTTGTGTTCATTTTGTTTAGTTCTTTTTTTGTAACAGATTTAATGTTTAGTATAGAGCTTAGAAAAAATTTGCAGTGTGAGATAGGCAAGAAGTAAGGCATGTAGCAACCTCAGCACGGCAAAGGGCACTCCTTTAAAGGCAAGGAAGGGCAAAAATATTTTAAGTCAAGTGATAGCGATTGCTTCATGAGTCGTACGATTTTTGAATCAAGCACGGGCAACGCCGGGCCATGCTGCTAGTCGTAAATAATCTCTTCCTGTAACATGTACCGTAATACTTTGTGTATAATTTATATACAAATAGTAGGATATACGTTTGTAATTCTCCTCATTGTTGACTCCTATTGATAATATTACTGAATACCATAAATAAAGTTACTAGAATTAAAATTCATTTGCTATTTCACCCTGTGCAATCAGCATTTACCGTATTTTGCAGTGCATCTTGTCACAATATTTTAAGAATATGTAACGGAAATAATATCAGTAAAGAATATAATGAATAAATATAGAGGAAGACAGATAAAGAATACAAGTGAAACATATAAGGTATAGATACATATCAGATAAAATGGGTGCCGTTGGAAAAGCAATACCTCAGCGATGTAAACGAAGATGAACACTGATTGGAGAAAGGAAAAAATAAACATGGTTAATTCATCATTTATATCAGCTATTTGTAGATTTTAAGCGGTACACGGTGAATGATGTTTTGTTGTTCATGTAGTAACAGAAAGAAAGAATCTATGCTCTTGGAGTCAAGTTAAATGAGCTCACCTTTATTGTTATGATGAGCCAAAGGTACCTGTGTATAGTGAGAACTCCTAATTTTTTTTTTTTTTTTAGTAAAAGCTTATAATGAAAATGCTCTATAATTGAGTATATACGGTAGACTTTGTTATTTCGCTTTAATTTTGCATATAAATTTATCAGATTAAATTAAAATTCATGTACGAATCCATCTACATTCAATCGCTGAATTAAGTATTTCGAAAGGTAAACACTCTTCGCTGAAAAAATAATACGAGAGATTTTACACTATCAATTTAAAGAACAATTTCATTAAATTCATTACATAATAAAATGAAAACAATACCTGAATACCCGTGTTTTGCCCATCACATAGTCGAGCAAATAGTTTCAATACTAACTCAATATGACCATCATCTTTGTATTGAAACATTTCAGCCATATTTTCCATCATGGGCGTCATAGCTGCGTCAGTTTCATCGTTCTCCTATAAAAATAGTCAAGATACAAAAAAATCAAACTGTAAAAAGCATACCACAAAAATCAACAGCAAATCTAAATACCTCGAAACCAAAAAATGATTAATTGGGAATGTTTAAAAATTTTTTCTTCTGTAAATGTTTAACGTATACAAAAAATACTTACAGGAGTAATGCATTTGATATCAACTGGAAGTGAAACCAAGAGCAATAGTAGAGATATGAAAAATTAACGTAAAATTCATAATGCTACTCTAATGTAACAGACTTTGCAAAACGCATACTTAGGAACTAGGAACTCATTGCAATAATAATAATAATAATAATACAGTAAGGGATTGTACTGAATAGAAATCAAAAGATGCTGGTAATGATTCCGAGACAGTAACCGTTACACCAGCCGCACATCCTATTCATATATAAATGAATTAAGGAAGAATTCGCGTGTACTCACGAAATAATGTTAATGAAATGTGTTGTTATTCAAATTTAGATTTCTATCTCATTTATGACTATATACAGTTAGTGAAAGTCATCAGTAATGGCAACGATGAGTTACAGCATTTCAATATGATTTTCTTTGTCTACAGATCATGGAATTTTATAAAGTATGACAAACGGAAAGCAGAGCTTAATTTTAAATCTGATATAGAAGTTAATTATAATATTAATTAAATATTCTTTTTTTTAATGTATTTTATTATAGTATATTACAATTGATCAAATAGAGAAAAGGTATAGCATTACTATACAGACATTTAGTAATTTTGTTGATATTTTCCTCCTACAAGGGAATAAAAGCAGGCAATAACATATGTAGTTATGAGGTTGCACCATAAGAAATAACACGCTCTCGATTCTGAAAATCTTTCATTTTATTAATGGACGGTAAATTAAAACAATTTTTACCACATTTACCTTTAAAATTTCCTTTGCAAACATTATTCATTCAAACTAAATTTGATGAAAAAAAACAGACAATTAGAAGACACTATTTTGTGTATATTTTGGGCTTTAAATCTTAAACAAAACTCGAAGAAAAATCAAAATAAAACATTTTTATTCATTTTATAAACAAAACATCCAGATATTTATTTCGTAAAATATGGCCTATTTGTTTGTTCTTTAATCCTTTCGATCTTCATTGGATATATAAGTCTAGCTGTTAATACAACTAATAATAAATATATATAATCAGAGTTGTATGTCATATAATAATTCTGTTGGGCATATATTTTGTCATAAACCTAAAAAAAAAACTTGCTGAAATCTTAAAAAGAACTATTAAATATATCATTAAAACATTCTTCTTTGTTTTTTGTTAAAACATCATCCTTGATTTGGTTAATTTCAAAGTCGGATCGAAAGGATTAAATAATATATAGTTTTATTTAGGACACAAGACGAGATCAGTCTTTCTTTCGATTTCTGTATTCATCTAAATATAAAATTAGTCATTTTAAAAGTAACCCTATATATATATATATATATATATATATATATATATATATATATATATATATATATATATATATTTCATTTTCTTTATGCTTCATGTAATAGCATAGGCAAATACTTAAAATGTCAATTCTTGTTCAATAGAACAGTTTAAGAAATCTTTTCTAAGATTTGGTGTGTCTTTATTTTCTTTCTAATGTGATATGACTAAATATGAATAAAACCAACGAAAATAACAAAAATAATTATAATCGTAATAACAATGATTATTATGTACAATGCAGACAATATTTAAGTAACTTGTATGTATTTATGCAAGGTTATGCATAACCTGATAATTACCTGTATGTATTACCTTAGAAATGGATCGAATCAAACCAATAATGCATTTACTAAGAGCTCAGCCTGTAAGTACATAAGCTCTAAGAAAGTACACACATACAAAAAGGGATCACTACATTAACATGCGTTAAATATACAAAACAGGACATTCACGAAAAAGAAACACAAGCAGGCATCAATTTATCAGACGAAGGCAATTGAATGCTCGAAAAAAAATTATCTCTTGGAATAATAATAATAGTAATAGCCTTAGATATGTTTTCAGTATTTTTCTATGAAAAATAAAGATACATTTTTGAAAATTAAGAATTCTTGTGAAGAGGAAAATAGAAATCAAAGACAAGCAAAGCTAAAAAAAATAGGCAACAGTAATATACAAAAGATGAAATCGAATTTTTTCGGAACCGTGTCGGTTATTGCATTTATAAGTTTTAAAGATTTCTCCCTTACCCCCCCCAAAAAAAAAGAAAAAAATGAGCAGAAATAATTATGAGCTGTTAAAAAAAATCAAAACTTCATATCCATCACAAATATTTTTATACCTCCGATTCTTAAAAAAAACTTCTACATCTTCAACGATAACACTCCTTAACTCTGCTTGATTTCCTTTCTATGTTTAATAATTATGTTTATATAATGACCAAAGGGCATTATCACAAATCGATGTTATGTTATACACCATCCCATAATAAAGTATCAAATTTTCCAACATTATTAATTTTTGTATGGCGAAAAGTGACCAACCACCACAAATGAAAATCATTTAGCGTTAAGAAAGCACAAAAGCTTCGAAACCCAATAACCATTGCAAGGAGAGTTTATTTGCACGAAAAAAATCATATCGCGTTTAAATACGATACATTACAATTGATTAACCAATGTTTAGATTTATATATATATATATATATATATATATATATATATATATATATACTAGCAGTAGAGCCCAGTGTTGCCCGGGGATGTAACAGTAAGAGATAGATCAAGTATCAACCATCATAAAGACTGAAAAATAAAATTGACAAAGATTATTGTTTAAGGTTGACGGACACGCATGTCTTAATTAGTTTTTTTTTTTTTTTTTTTGTGCTTTTTGTTTTTTTTTTACAATTGGTCAAACCAAACTCAAACAAAAACATTGTTTTCAATCGTTATGAGTCTACCGATTGAATAAAATTTTATTATAAACAATTGTCTTGTAAATTGAATTTTTAAAGCATTCTGAATGTAAAAATAAAGAAAAAAGTGTGCAAGACAATAAGAAACACTACCTGCCAAAAAAAAGTGAAGTTTTGTTGAAATCGGTTGAAAAATGTAGGAAACCTGATCCCATATATAAACGAACACACACACACGCACACACACACAACCTGGGTTTTATTAGTATAACTCGATATGAGTTGTCCCCCTTTTATTCTGGCGATGCCTCTTCATCGTGTTTTCAAATTGATTTCGTACAAAAACAATTGTGTTTTTCCAATTTTTGGCGTTGTCAGAACCACCGCAAGGTAATTTTACGTAGTTCTGTGAAGTTTTGTTGAAATCGGTTGAAAAATGTAGGAAATCCGATCCAATATATAAACATATAAACGTACAGACATACACACACAACCTGGGTTTTATAATAAGTATATATATATATATATATATATATATATATATATATATATATATATATATCCCTTATCGATAGCACGACTCGGAGTTTCATGCACAACGCAATCTTCAGACAAACTTTAGGCAATATAAAATAAAAAAAACATCATTGCTGTCTCTAAATATTTCTGGGAATTAAAGATATATGGTAGCAGTAGTCCATTTTCGGACTGATCTGGCTTTTGTAAAGTTAGTTGATGGAAGGAAGAGTCAGATACAGGGAACCGACCATTTTTTTTTCACTATCTTTAGCTATGGAGCTTTCGTTCTATGATAAATTAGCCTTGAGTAGTATATATTCTCTTATGCACGATAGCCTAGAATATTATTTAACATACTTTTGGGATGAAATGTTTCATTTCTTGCTGAAATAATAACTTCAGTCATTTTTTTATGTCTTTTTTTTTTTCTTCAAATCGAATTCACCCAAATGTAAAGCAGTAAAGCCGCTTAGATACAAGTGGGTTACTGGACGTGAGAAAATGAGAAAAACAAAAGCATTATTTAGGAAGGGAAAACAGAAGAGTAATCCGGAAGACAGTAGCTAAAGATTGACAATGGATTTAAATTTTTGAAGATCCAACTTGTCTGGAAGCAAGAAGCCGGAAGAGAGTTCCATAAACGAGAGGTGCGAGTAAAGAAACTGTTAGAATAGAACTTACGGTTGTTAATCTAGTACTGCGCTTAAATTCATAAAGTTTAGGTACCATAGCAAAGAGCTCAAATATGAGAATATTGATAGAAAAGCCACAGGAAAGCAACTTTACGGCGATGGGAATGTGACTGAAGCTGAGATGCCAGGTCAGCACCAATAATATTGCTGATTCATCTTTGGATTTTATAAAGAATCGGAGCACCAGAATAAGATCATATGTGGCAGTAATATTCGCGGTATGGACGAATGGTAGACTTATAGATATGCAAGTTAGATTCAGGAGAATATAGTCTGTAGTAATATCAAAATATCAAGGCCAAAATTATGAAGCACCCCGTTGAGGGCCAAACTCGCTGTTCACTCGTAATCGAAATAATACCGAAATTTATGTTACCCAATAAAACAAATAAATCAAAGATTATATTATAATATCAGAAAATGTTTTGCCTGTTTAATTTTACACGTGAACTGTTTCATTCGAAATTTCAATTGATTGCTTTTTCTTTTTGACAGATAACATGAAGGTTTTGTTTTTTTAATATTTATTTTCAAAACTAATCAGACCTCTTCCAAATGTATGGAGGAAATTCTAATCCACTTATTCTCCAAGAACTGCTACTTTGTAGAATATCATTTCGCGTGGGTGTTTCCCTGAAAATTACAATCTTAACCTCTTCAAACCAAGGATTCTCCTTAAATTTATCCTCATAAATTTCACTTTCTACCACCTCCTCAAAAGCCTCGTAAAATATTTCAAAATAGATGAATGGATTATTCTGACAAGGAATCAAAATATATTATTCTATCTACCAATTCTATCACAATTATAATGGAAGAGAATTT